AGTTCCGTTCTGCCAGGCATCAGAAGGAAATAAGCAGAAACCCTGAACTGCTTGGCTGGCTCCTGTGCTGTAAGAAACTGGGAATAACAAGTCTTCATTCCCTGCCTCCATCAGCTCAGTGCCTTGGAAGCACTGCTCAGATTTATTTGTTCCCCCTCTGCTCCTGCTCTGCGCTTGCAGCAGTGGTCTGGCTGCTGCCACTGTGGCTGTGTCCTTCATCAGTTCTTCCCTGATGGCCATTGGCTTCAAGGGGGTTCCTGGGGATCAAGAAGGGCTCTGCCAGTGGAAGACTCTGCTCTGAGAGCAGCAGCTGAAGAGATTCCCATTGTGGGATGTCCTGGAGGAGCATGGGTGATGCAGCTCTGAGAGCAAGAGGGAGCAGAGTGTGTGCATGGGACCAGGCTGCTGCTGGCCCCCACCCTCTGGGAAAAGCCCCTTGCTGCCACTTCAAGGTGGCTTCTTTCTGCTTGGCCTCTTGCAGAAAAAAACTGAAGGCTGGCTCAAACCTCGAGGGAAATTTGAAAGAACCTGCAAATCCAAGCCATTTTTTTTAGGCCACAGCTGGGAAACCCCTTGGCTTCAGTTTTGGAATTTTTCTGGGTGGGGAGAGGGGAGTGTTGCTTAGTTTTTTTTGTGGTGGGGAATAGCATGTTAGATGGGGAGTTATGGTGCAGGTGGTATCTTGGGCAAGGTGCCAGTGTGTTGGGTAGAGCTTTGGTTTGGAAAATGGCTTTGGAGCAAGCCATGGAGAGGCAGGGCATGCTCGTGCAGCGCTGTCCTGTGGGTGCATGGCTCTGTGTTGCCCTCTCCCACAGAGGATGCTGATTTGCACAGAGCTCCTTAGCCTCTCCTCTGGGGCAGGACTTGCTCTGGAGCAGGTTAAGTTAGTTTTCAAGCAGCTCTTTGCTGCAGTACCTGGACAGGACCTGGTACCTGAACCAGGTTGGTCAAGGTTGTATTGGTGATCCACAGTGTGCCCGTGCTTTTGGGAGGGATGGCTCAGCCACCTGGTTCCTGGGGCAGAACTATTTCTAGAGGTAGTCATGTAGGCTGGAGTGCATTTGGAATGAAAGACCCTAAGGCAAGGATGATTTCTCCTGAAGAAAGCAAAGTTGGAGGCCAGCAGTTTCTTCCAGGTGTCTTTGCACAGGAACAGGGCACTGAGTGACAGGGTGTGTGTGACATAGAGTACAACTCAGTGCAACAAAAGGAAAAGGACCTTTGGAAATAGCACTTAATGCCTCTTTCCTCTTATCTCAACTAGCCTCGTGGGCAGTGCAAAACACCTTTTGCCCTCTGTGTGCCTGGCTGCTGGGTTCTCCTGCTCAGTCAACCTGGGCTTGGGCAGGTTTTGCCATCCTGACTCATATGCCATAGCTAGTCTTACCTCTGTTCCCAGCAAGGTAACAGGGATTTGCTTCAAAACTACCTGAAAACCCATGTTGCTTTGATTTTAATCAACTAACTGTGTTTGAAGCGAGCTGATGAGGTCCTCTGACCCACCTGAGATGGGTTGCCAAGATCTGTGGCTTTCCCACCTGTGCGATGGTGTTCACCAGACCTTCCTGTGCCTGCCCAGGTTGTCTCTGCTGCAAACGGGACCACCAATGACTGCAGCCCCAACAGGACAGTGGTGATGACCCCCACCATGGACTCCAGGCTGTACATGCTTTCCCTCCTGCCTTTTGTGGTGCTGCTCACATTCATCCAGAATCTCAAAGTCCTGTCCATCTTCTCCATGCTGGCCAACGTGGCCATGCTTGGCAGCCTTGTTGTGATCTACCAGTACATCGTCAGGGTACGTGTGTACAGCTCCAACTTTTGGCAGGTGGAGGGAGCTTGGCAGCAGGGTGTTTGCATGCTGTGGGGTGCTGCTTGCTCCCATGGGCACAGTGGTTATCCTCTGCTCTGCAGGGCTTTCCCTGTGGCATGGGGCTGTGACAGGGAGCAATGGGAGTGGGCCAGCTCCTCTCCATCCTCCCTATGTCTGAACTCTCCGTGGGCTTTCTTCCAGGACATTCCTGATCCCAGAAACCTGCCTCTAGCAGCAGCGTGGAAGACCTACCCTCTGTTTTTTGGCACTGCAATCTTTGCTTTCGAAGGCATCGGGGTGGTAAGTCACGGCATGTGGCAGTGTGGCTGCTGCACAGGAGGTTCAGCCCCTGCTCGGACTTGCCACAGCACCTGCTCTGCATTGCAGCTGCATTTGCAGCTGAACTTTGCTGTCAGTAGCCCAAATTCTGCATGATGCTGTCAGCTTTAGCCTCCAGGCTATCTCCTGGGTCAAATCCTGTTGCTTACATCTGAGGCTGGAGGAGCATGTGCTGCAAACCTCAGGAGGTTGGTTGCTGCTTTAAAGGTGGCTTTATCTGACTGTAGATTGGCAATCACACTGGCAGCTGCCTTGGGCTCTGCTGGCTGACCTGCAGATGAAGAATTGTCCTGAGTCTTGTTCTCAGGCTTGATCCTGAAGCTGCCTAAATGGGAGGCCAAAAAGCATGGCATAAAAAGATGTGATCAATTCCTTCCCACCCTGCTGCGGAGGCACAAAGATCTCCCTTTAGCAGCCTTATGGCCCCAGCCTGCTGTGGGGCTGGATTTGCATGGGCCTCTCATGCAAGATGCTGTAAATAGACCAACTATGTCTGTGAAAAAATCTGGGCGGGTGGGTGGAGAGCTTAATGGCTCCCTGAGATGTTGTGGGTTGTTTCCGGGAGCTCCCTTCAAAGGAGAAAAAATGTTTTCATCTCTTAATGTGAGCTGGCTGTGTAAACACAGGGCTGGAGAGGGCCAAATCCATCACAGGAGGAGTGTTTACTGAATGCTGTGCCCAGGGCAGTGGGTTCTTGCCAGCAGCAAGGCACAAACGCTCTCTTCCTCGCATGATTTGGAGGTGGAGAAGCAAATAAAAGCTATTCTTGTCCTGCCTTCTCACCAGCTTTGCCACTGTGTCTCTTCTTGAAAAGCACACCACCCAAGGTCAGCTATAAAAATGTTTGCTGAAGGCCTGTATTTAGTGTTAGTGGTATAGAGGTGAGGGACTTACCTCTGTCCTTCCTCTTTTTATTGTCCTGCTTGGTTGAAATGTGTCTGGACAAACTTGATAGGTCCAAGATGTGCTGGGAAAAATAGGACAATGTAAAATAGTGGGCATGGCTGTGCTGTTTTGTGCAGAGTGTAATGCACTCAAGGTGTGGGGTGGTTGGCATTGCCCCAAGACACCAGACAGCACTGGGCACAGCTCCTGCCAAGGGGAGGGAACAGGTCCCATCATTAAGGCAAGGGCATGGGTGACCTGCTGGAGACTTGCTCTGCCAAATAGGAAGGTCTCCAATGGGAGCACAAGAAAGTGGATGTCCAATACAGCAGATTTTTTGGCTGAGTTCTCCAGACTCCATATGTCCATTAGTCCCATCCCCTAACACGGTGGGGCTCTGCTTGTCCATGGGGCTGCCCCTCCTGCTTTTTGGGGATGAGTGGTATAGAGGGACAGGGGCAACCTGCTGCTCTGTCATCATCTTCCTCCTCCTCCTCTCCCAGGTACTGCCTCTGGAAAACAAGATGAAGAACCCCCGGCAGTTCCCAATCATCCTTTACGTGGGGATGACCATTGTCACCATCTTGTACATCAGCCTGAGTGTCCTGGGGTACCTGCGCTTTGGGGCAGACATTCAGGCCAGCATCACACTCAACCTGCCCAACTGCTGGTGAGTCCCTATGGGGAGTAGAGGGGCTGTGGGGGTGAGGAAGAAGGGTCCTAGCCAGGGAAGTGACAGAGGAGGGCACAGGGGACGTCACTCCTTAAGTGAACTGATCTGGATGAGCTTGTGGATTGACTGTGCTGTAACCAAACTGTCCAAAGGAGCTTGACTGGGGTTGTCTGATGTACAGGGTGGAGAGATTCGTTGCTGCAGTGTCTTAGCTTGGTGTTGAAGCTCAGGCCACTTCATCAAGGTCCCTGGTGGTCCCTGTGTGGGTAGGTCCAGCTCTTGCCTTTTTCTTGGAGCCTTGTGGTATCTTTTGGAGGGCTAAGCAGTGCTCTGACTGGCAGTTGTTGAACACAACCCCCTTGTGGCCATACCAGAAGGTCATTGAACTGTGCAAAACCCACTTCTCTTCCTCAAATGTAGCACATGGAAAACTAACGCAAAGTTGGGAGCTCCCAGAGGGGGCGAGATGTAATGTCTCTGAGGGGCTGCATTCCTTGTTTGCAGCCCTGGAGCTCAAACTCCCACTTCTGGGCTCCACATTGTGCCTGGATGTGGCTCATCTCGAGCCAATGCTTTGCCTGTGAGCACTAGTGCCGTGAGGATACCCCTTCCTTCCTGTGGGGGCTGAGCTCTGCAGCTCCACAAACCTGTCTGTCCTCTGGGATCTGGTGAGGCCTCTCGAGATTCTCCAGTTGCAGGCTGGAGCCCTGTGGAAATACATGTGGCCTGACCCAGAGGGATTGTTTCTCCTCTGGCCAGGGCTGGTGGCTGCTGCAGCAGCTGGCCAGGCTGTGTGCTGCTGTGTCCCTAGGGATGGGTGACTGCTCAGTGTCACAGCTCCGTATTCATCCCAGAGGAGAAATGCAAGCAGTTTCTCTTGCCTTTGGGAAAAGAAGTACAAAGCATACAAATTCTGAGAGCACATGCCTTTTCCAGCTTGCTCCGCATAGTTTTTCTTGAGGTCTTTCTTAAATAATCCCATCTCAGTTGATTCTTACAACACACTGCTTTGGGGTGTCTGGATGGCAGGATGTGGTGCTGATGGGTGAGGAGGAGCTAGAGCTTTTCTCCACGCTGCAGAGGTATCACTTGTGGTATGGAGCTGGGACTGAGGGTTGGCTTGAATGCCACGAGACTTCTTGAAAAGCTGTCCTGTGGCAAGGCAGTTTGTCTGGGTTTGCCCAGGAGCATTCTGAAGTTCAGTGGTTTCTCTTTGATGGTCTCTGCTGGCTTGAAATCCTGCAGGAGACCAGAGTGAGAACTGGAGCTGGGGGTACCTGTCCCCCTCCCCAGCCCATCCTCTTTGCTGCTAGCAGCGCCCAGCACCATACAGTGAGTGTGACTTGCTGCTTCTTTCCCACTCACTTTTAGGGTAAATTTGGGCAGGACTCAAGTTTTGAGTCATTGATGGGCTTCCATATATTGACCTGGTAGAGCTGTGTAGCTGGGGCTCTGCAGAAAGCAAAGATTTGACAAAAATAGGAGCCTGGTTTTGTTTTAATGATTGCTATGTGGGGTTCTTTCAGTTTGAGTGCATGGACTTTCATTCATGCTGTGTCTGTGTAGTGATTGCAGAAGGTCTCATTGCTGCCAAGAGCCTTGCCTTGTCCCCTGCAGGGGCTGAGGGCTCTGCCAGGTCCCTGCTCTCAGTGAGGAGGGATGGGGCTGGTGGAAAGATGTGCCTATGTTGTAGGGAGATCTGACTCCCACCGTGCCAAGCACAGTAGGTGTGAATCACTTCTGCTCAGCAAACTGAAGTGCAGTGTGGAGGAGATGAAATGCTGCTGCTTCTTCTGAAGGTGGAAAGGAGGTCAGATCCAGGTCTTGGGCTCTGCATTCCACAGCCTGCAATGTCTGCTGACCTGAAATGCTGCACAGGGGCTTCTGCAGGGGACCTCAACTCTGCTGTGAAGGATGACGTACCTTAGAAAGAGGGTAATGGGATTACTGTGACCTGCTAGGCTACAGTGAGGTTCTATTTGCAGATACATGTTTCTAGGAGTATCCACCCCTTCTGTCCAAGTACTTTTCTGAAAATAACTGTAGGGGTTTTTCTGATGGTGAGAAGAGAATAGCCCTTTGGAATCAGTGCCTGGGGAAGTCTGGACACATGGCAGGGCTCCTGAGGGCAGCTGCTGTGAAAGGCATGCTGTGGTCCTTGTGATTTGGCATGCAGAATGCTTTGGTGTTGTGCATGTTGCCTTTTGGCAGAGCATTCAGTGGAGTGTGTAAATGTTGGACTTGGAAGGGGGTTATCTCAAGTAAGAGCTGGGATACTTGGGATAATAAAGCCTGCTGTGTTGCTGTGCATTAAACCGTAGGTGATGGGTGAAGACTTGCTCTTGAAATGAGTGTTTTGCCCATCCTGCCTTGCCTGTGGGTTTTCTCCGTGGCAGTAAGAGGCATTGGGCTGCATAAACTGGTCATAAGGACTGTGGGTGAGAAGTCATGGGGTTTGCCTGCAGCGTGGGAGACAAGACAAGGATTGTGGTGGAGGTGCTACAGCCTTCCTTGGCTGTAGCCATTGCCTGGAGGTCTCTAGAACAGATTTGATGAACGTGTCGGGAACCGTTGAGTTACAGAATGACTAAGGACTTCTCCAGCCTCATTTCTCTATAACCACAGCTTCCTCAAATGAGGAGTGTGTCGGTTCCCAGTGCCCAGGTCTAACCACAGCCTCCAAAATACTGAGCTGCTATGCAGAAACCCCTCCTCACCTCCTCGGAAGGGTTGCTTCACAGCACCATCTGAAGAGTGAAGAAATGCTGTAGTGAGGGGGAAGCTGTTGGATTGCATGTGACCAGTTGAAGGTAGGTAATGACAGAGCTTACAGTCCCAGGAGGGTATTTCATTTCTTGCAGCCTTTTGGGATGGCCTAGTGTGGCAGTCTGTGTGAAACAGGCATTGCTGTGGTTGGCAGAGCAGTGCCTCTCCAGGGCCCTGCATGGACCTGTGTTTTCTGTGGGTCAAATCTAGTGCTTGAGCTCTTCCTCTTCTTGGAATTTCAAATGCCCTTTGGGCTTGTTGTCATTGGTCCTAACCTGTGCAGGACAGGTATGCAGTCTTTTCCTGTACCTTCTTATTAACAGCTGTGAATTGTGGATTGCCCTCAGGGAGCACTTTATGTCTTTACAGCATCACTTAGTTGGGTATACAAGGATAAGATATGCAGGCTGTGGGTTGGTGGGTCAAGGCTGCTGTGTATGTGTCACATGTCATTGAGCAGCACACTCTGGACTCTGTTGATACCTTTGTCTTGAGTTCACCTATGGAATCACAGGGTAATTAAGGTCAGAGAGAGTATCATGGGATCATCAGGTGCACAGAAGTTCTTGCAGAGTGTTACCCTTCTACTTTCTGCCGTTGATGCTGCGGGGGCTGGAGCAAGAGCATGTCTCACTGGGTCTCCTCCTTCTGCTTTGCAGGCTGTACCAGGCTGTCAAGTTGCTCTTCTCCTTTGGGATTTTCTTCACGTATGCTGTGCAGTTCTATGTGCCTGCTGAGATCATCATCCCTCCTCTAGTTGCTCGAGTGTCGGAGCGCTGGGGCTGGCTGGTCAACCTGCTCCTCAGGGTGGCCCTGGTCTGTGTGACATGTAAGTAGAAAGCAGCTTGTTTGAGTTTCGATGTGGCACCTCTTTCCTGCTGTGGGCTGGCAGTCCTGTGAGCCTTCACCCCTTGCCTTGCTGCCTCTGGACCTGCTGCTAAAGCCCTCTCAGCAGGCAGTTTGCTGGGCCTGGCTATTGCAAGCCAGTGGGTCAAGGTGGCCTCCAAGGAGCAGCAGCAGTGATCCTCTGCCCCTTCTGTATGGAACCAGTATACTCAGTGGAGAAGTAGTAAACCTCCCACATCACTTAGAGGTGGTTGAGGTGGAGCCTCAGGCCTAGGATCCTCCTAATGGCATTGTTGGAGGCCATCAAGTCCCATCAGGCCATGCATGAAACACCCAGCACCTGGTTCAGTGCCAGGGCAGCCCAGACCAGAGGCTGGTTTCCATAGGCAACATGCTGCCAAGCTCCTCCTGCCTGTGTGGTGGGAACACGTCTGCAAAGGGGTCACTGACTGTGAGGGAATGGGTGATCTTGTACCCACACATTCATTGCAGCATGTAGCACAGCAGGAGACAACTGGCAGTGGTACATGACCCATGACCAAAGCCCTGGTGTGCTGAGTGTGCTGCAGGGCAGGTCTGGCTGGATCAGCCCCACACAGTCCCTTTCTCTTGGTGGTGTGTGGTGCCTGCAGTGAGATTCTAGTGGAACAGACTGCTAGCTTGAGCCTGGTGGACTTTTGGAAAGGTGTGGAGCAATTCAGGTGCAGGGGTATGTGATTTTGGCTGGCTGATTCCTGAAGGTTAAATCCTTGCTGTTGTCAGCACAGCTGAGACGCTTGACTGAGCTCCCCAGCGTCGTCTGCTGAAATGGAGCTTTTCTCCATAGCTTGATGCTGCTGATGCACCAGAGCTGAGCATCAGGGACATGGCCCAACATCCCAGCTGACTTTGGTTTGGGTTTGAGAGGAGCGTGGTGCTAACTCAAGGGTGGTGGAGCTGGCTGAGAGCAGCGTACTGCTGGTTCTGGGCTCTTGCTGATGATAGGCCAAAGTGCTACATTAACAGAGGTGGGCAAAGCCCCATCTCCTCTGTGCTGAATTCCTGAAGCCTTGATGCCCTCAGAGGGTGCAGGGATGAAATCCTGCCGGTGCTGGACAATGTGCACTGGCCACCCTGGTGCTGTGCTTGGACTCAGAGCCTGCGTGTGGGATGGGAGCTTCTCCCGGAGTGTGTTGGGGTGTGCCAGGCTAGGGAAATGAAGGCTTGGAGTGATGGAATGGCTTTAGGCATCTACAGTGGCTGTACCCTCCTGTTCGGGGGTAGGGAGGCAGTGGAGGTGTTGGTGAAAGGATGCTGGTTTCTTTGTACCTCCTCCCCTCACCCTTCCACTAAGGGATCTGCTGTGGCTGCTGGTGAGGATAAACGTAATTAGGGGGGTTGCATGAATATTCATTGGATGATTGTGTGGCCGCACAACAAGCCTGCATCAGGGCTTTGGCTCCTAAAGAGAGGATGCAATTTGGTGTATGGGTGTCTTTTAAGCTTAGACTTCAAAACCAGCACACTTGAAAACCCTTTGAATTAATACCTGTGGAAAGCTCGAGTGTTGCCTCCGGAGGCTGAGGACTGCAGCTGGTGCTTCAGTGCTGCTTGTTTTAGAGGGGGGGTTAATAATTTTGTTTACTTTGAGTCCAAAGAGCAGTGTGGCTGAGGATGCTGTTGGAGGTGGGCTGCTCTGCTCGCCACACAAGCTGCCAGAGCAGGGATGCTGCTTGCAGCAGAGATATGGCAGAGCATCAGGATAAAGATCAAGACCTTTATTGCTGTTCCCCAAGGTTGGAGGGATGGTTTGTCTAGGCTTATCCAGATGACAGCAGGGCTGCAGTAGTGGCAATGTTCAGGAGCATCTCCTATTTACTCGTGGTCAGTCTCCCAAGCCTGCCTTCTCCTGCAGTACTATGGGTGATCTTTGGCTCAGGGAGGCTCCAACAGCCTCTCTTGCTGGTAGCTGATGGCCAGGGAATGAACAAATCCCTCTGGTAAGGAGCCCTGAGACATCCCTCCTCCACCAAGGCTGTAGCTGCCACAGTTCTAGGTGTCTCCTGTTTCTAAGCAGCACTTTCAAAGCAATAAACCCATTTATTTCTCTTGGTCACTTTGGTTAAGTGCTGAAGTCTGCTTTGCTTGCAGAGGATGCTCTTGTGTTGTGCAGAGCTCTGGTTGCCTTTTCTTCAGGCTTTGTTTGAGCAAAATGCAGCAGCAATGCTCTTGTGTGCCCAGGCTGCCTCAGATGGGGTTGGCACACATTCCTTGGAATGTGTGTGCTGAGGCTTCCCATTGCCAAATGAGACCTTGATGATCCTTTGTTTTAGATCTGTGCCCTAAACACTGACAGTGAGCCTAGAGCTGGTGGTGGATGTGGGCTGGTTGGAAGGAGAAGGCACCATCCCTATATCCTCCCCTGGCCCCGTGCAGGAGTCGGGGGAGCAGGAATATGCTGGAGCTCACACTGCTAAGCGTGAGCTGTCAGGAGTCTCCAGGGGGATTTTCCTTGGCTGCAGTTTTCACCTAACAAATGTTCTCCCTTGGGCTGTGCTGTGGGCGAGCTGCTGCTGGAGCAGCTCTAAACGCATGCAAACCACAGGGGTTGATTTGGGGTGGGGGGAGATGCCTTTTTCCTCCTGTCTCCTGCTTTTATGGGGTTTCTGAGGCTTTGCAGCTCCCCAGGTGTGGGGAGCAGGGGTGCTGGCTTTCACCAAGGGGGTTAGGAGTGATGGCAGCTACTCTTCTGCCAGTGGTACCCATCTTGCTCAGCCCTGGATCTCGCTCCAGTGGAGCCCAGGGCGACAAAAAATGTTTAGTCTTTGTGCTGCGCTTAATGCAGCAGCTCATTTGCTTCTTGGGGATGAGTCGCTGGAAAAATATGCAGTTGTGTCTTCAAAGCTGTTGTGTCTGGGAGGAGGGCCGAGGTGTGACTCAAGCTGTTGGCATCCCTGCCTGGGTTTTGCTTGCTTTGACACAGGGAGGAGGGTCTCTGCCATCTGTGTGCTGGCAGCACTAATGTGTCCTTTCCTTCTCCAGGCGTGCTGGCCATCCTCATCCCACGCTTGGACCTCGTCATCTCTCTGGTGGGCTCCATCAGCAGCAGTGCCCTGGCTCTCATCTTCCCTCCACTGCTGGAGATTGCCACTTACTATGCCGAGGGCATGCACCCCCTTGTCATCACCAAGGACATTGCCATCAGCCTCTTTGGCTTCGTGGGCTTCGTGGTGGGGACATACGAGGCGGGCACCCCCCGCCCCTGCCATTGTGAATGCCACCAGTGTCATGGTGCAGTGACGTCCCCCTGCCCTGCCAGCCCCTCCGCGTGCCGTGCTAGGGGTGCTCTCCTGGGAATGGCCTCCCCTCTCCTCTTGGTGGGTTTGGTCTGTGAGAGGATGGAACTGCTCACCACTGCAGCCACCTGGCTGCATATTATCCATACCCAGGATCCTGTGCTGGGCTCCATCTGGAAGGTGGGATCAGGCTGGGGCAGTACCTTCCCTGGGGGCTCTTTGGGCAGGTAGTACAGCAAAACAGCCCCTTGGCACTTGTGTAAATAGTCACTTTGAGAGGTGAGGAATCCCAGGGATGTAGATTTTATTTTATTTTATTTTATATTTTTAGATCCCAACCTTTCCATATTTCCCCCATCCGTTCAGTCAGGGTGGGGAACAGGGACTGCTCTTTTTAGTGCCAGTTTGGTTTTTGTTTTTGTTTTTATATCTTCCCCAAGCACTTTATTTTTACAGCAACAGACAAACCTCAGTTCAGGTTAGGGAGCATGGAGCTGCCTCCTCACTCCAGCCTTGTGGGGAGGGCAGGCAGAGCCTGAGGTACGGAGCATCCTGGGGCCCACAGCTCTTCTGAGGTGGGAACCCCAATGGTGGGCATTGGCTCCTGCCATGCTCCAGCTCTGTTTCCAGCTGCTTTGAGACTGAGCAGGGCCTGGAGCTGGGCACTGGGGGTTTGCTGACCCCTGGCCCATGCTTTCAGTAGTGACACTTTATCCCCATCCAGCGCACAACTTGATGCTTGGATTTCAGAAGCATTAGAGAACCAAGGTGTGTGGAGAGCAAACAGGCTCTGCCCTAACGAGGGTCCGAGTGGTTGCCTTCAGCTGGGAGTCCTTTCCCTGTGTGGGATGGGATGTCCCCATGGGTCACCACATGCTGCCCACACGCCACAAAAATACATCACCTTGTTTACAGTGCCTGAGCTGGCCCTGGCACTCTCCGGCTGCATCTGCAGGCCGATGCTGAATGTCAAACCACACACAAAAACTCCATAATATTTCTTTTTTTTAGCCCTTTCTCTCTTGGTCCACTTCTCTGCATCCTCTGCCTCTGCCCAGCTCCTCTCCCCCTGTAGGATGCAGCACTTCTCCCTGCGCTCCTGTTGCTTCTTGTGTTGTGGCTGGTGCATGTCTGGCAGGGACAGTCCCTGGGATGCTGCTGCTTTCCTTCCTCTCAGCGAGCCCAGCTTACTCCCTAGGGAGTTTCCTTGCCTTTCTGCTGGATTTCTCTTTTTTAAGACAAGGGAGCAAATGCATTTTTTACGGGATTGGCCCAACTCCTCCTTGCTAACACAGCATCTCCCTAATGCCAGCAGTGTGGTGGCTTCCTTCAGAGCCTTTATCCTGCATCCCACTGCAGCCACATCTCCTGGGAGTGGGCAAAGGCTGCTGGTGGTGGTAATGGGAGAGGAGGGTGAGTACAGCACTGGTGGGCTGCGATCCTATCTTTGGTGGAGGATGGAGTGAGGCTTGGGGTTATTTTTAGTGTTTGACATGCTTCTGGGAGAAGGCTGTGCAGAGCAGTGTCCCTGCAGCCTGCCTTCTCCCTGTGTGGTGTTTCAGTGTTCTGCACTGTGTTCCCTTTGCTGGTTCTGGTTTGGGTGCCCCATGCCACTATGTGGTCCCACAGCCAGGTGTGGGGTGGGTCTGTGCCAGTTGCTGCTCTTTCCAGCCCCTCACCTGCTTGCTGTGTCTCTTGGGCCTCACCTTGTCTCCTCCAAGTCTGTGCAGGGGAAGGTTTTGGCATGCTCCAGCATCACTTGGTCAGGAGCAGAGCAAAGCTTTAATTCAAATCCTCCTTCTGGAGGGAACTGTGGGGATTGGGAAGAAGCACCCGGGTTTGGGAAGGGACTCCAGGGCATGACACAGGTGGGAAAAGTGCAATATTCATGTCCATCGCTGTGTACTGACCCCAACGTGGCCCTTGGGGGTTGGGTTTGAGTCAGAAATGTCACCCTTAGCAGAGGAGGGTGTGCTGTGAGGAGCAGGGGATGTCCATGCTTGTCCCCAGCTCTGCCAGTACCCTGTGAGAAGGCTGGCCACGTTTTGGGGGACAGCTGTGTGCCAGGGCATGTCCCCAACCCAGCACTGGGCTTCAGCTGGTGGGGGCTCCTGGCATCAAAACTCACTCTGCAAGTGGCAGTGAAGACCTAATTTCCAAGGAGACTGGGTTATCACAGAAGCATTAAATGGTTTGTGCAGTTCACTTTTATCGGGGTGAGCAGGGAGTGTTCAGAGATGGGGACAGACAAGCTGGTGGGGCACACAACGTGAGGGGCTCTGCCAAGCCAGAAGGAGCTGACACAGGACCTGATGGACACGAAAACTTGACACTTGTGTATCGTGGGCTGCTCTGTAACCAAGGCAATTGTCTGTGTAACTATAGCAGTGGTCATGTCCATGTCTTGTGCCTATGGATATTGTCAGCGTACAGCGTGTGTAGCTGCCCAGTGGGAGAGCTGGTGCTGCACCTGAATCATGTATCTTACTGTAATCAATAAATATGATCTATTTTTATGTGTAAAGGCTTTGGGGTGTGAGATGGGTGTTTCTCTTCCAAAAGGTATCCATGAGAGAGCAGATGTGGAGCCCAGCAGGCAGACCCTGTGCTGTTCCCATCCCTGCAGCAGCACACGACCTCCCTTTCTGCTGAGGGTTTTAAATCAAAGTATTTCGCCTTTGCTGCTCAGAAAATGATAATTTTTCTTTTGACCTCCTTTGTGCAAGTAGGTTGTGGGCAGAGCTTATGGGCTTGTTGGGCTGAGCTCTGCCCTACTTCTTATATGTGTCCTGAGACCCAGCAGCTTGGTTTATGCCGAAAGTGGAGCTGCAGCCTGAAGAAGGAGCCCGGTACGTGCCGATGGGGGATGCTGAGCTGCTGCTGATCTGCCTGAGAGATCAAAGGAGCAAAAGTCAGCCCACGCTGGGAGACGCTGGGCACTGTGCCCGCATCGCTGCAGCTCGGCTTATCCTCACGCTGCTGAATAATTCATGCCATTGCAGTGTGTCATTAGAGGGCTTTTGGGGAAATCGGGGCTATAAAAAGTTCAGCTTTTGAAGCTCTGGCAGAAGACGTTTTCTTAAAGTAGGAGGCTTTTGCAGACTGATGAGGAATGTAGGAGCTGCAGTCGCCTGAGCTGCTGGAGTAGCATGGATGCAGTGGGGTCAGACTGGGGGTTTGGAGCTGTGTGCTGTGTGCCATACTGGTGGGATTTCCTTCTCCTGCTGCTCCTGTTGGTCCTGCCCAGAGGCAGCTCTGGAGCTAGGCAAGGATGTCCTATTTACAAGGGAATCCTTGAACTATCAAATAAAATCATAATAGTAAAAAAATCCAAACTCTTTTAATACTTTCAAAAAATTCAACAACAAAAAAAGGTACATCAAACAACCAACCAAAGAAAACCTCTCACAAAGAAACAATACATTTCCAAGCACAAGGACATTCAGGCTAACCCACGATCTTGGTGCTCCCCCTCTGGTCAGAGATGCCAAGCAGTGCTGGCCAGTATTTCTGGGGTACACCAGGGAGCCCCAGCTGGGTGGCAGGACCATGTACCACTGTGTTCAGCTTGGGACCACGACACGCATGGAGACACAGCTGTGCACACATATTTGGGACAGGGTCTCCCTTATTCCTGTGAGCACAGCGTGACTGGGCAGACTGGTTTGAGTCTGTGGATGGTTTCTGGCATGGTAAACCTTGTTGCTTGGGTTTTTTTCTACAGAAATGGACTTTTTTTTCTTTTTTTTTTTTTTCCTTGGACTTCTATTGGCCAAGTGAGAGATGTGCTGATGGGACCAGCTGCTTTCCCTCATCTCTCTCCCAGTGTTAGGGAGCAGACATGGAAGAGGGTTTTCATCAGCTGGTTCATTCCACTGGGCAAACTTTTGGCTTGATGCAAGCCCTTGGAGCCAGAGCTGGGGGAAGGGAGCCTCTGTTACCCCACATGGGGGAGTGCCAGGCTGTGCATCACTAGTCCTTTCGCACCTTCACCACAACTGCTGCCATACCTGCAGTGTTTGCCCTCCTCCTCGTCCTCATCCTCCCCATGGCCAGGGAGCCTGGGGTGAGAGGAGGTGGCATGTGGTGGTTCTACATGGTGTTAGAGGAAGTCCCCGTGGTAAGGAGGCAGGTTAGTCATTGGCATCCCAGGAACATCCTCCGTGTCCCAGCAGTGGCTGGAGCATTTCCCCTTGATTTGCAGCAGGAGCACCAAGGAGGCCAGTGGGGGGAAAGATCCAGCCAAATTACAACCCAGCCATGCAGGGGGAGATGCTGCAAACAAGGGCACACACATAAGCCTCCCTTCAGCAGCATGTGCCAGCCCCCTGCACACTGGTTTTGCATGGAGATGTGCTTCTCTTTCCATCTCAAGAGCAATCCCCCTGCTAAAACATCACCTCCTCACAGCTCCCATAGTCACTCTCCACCATGTCAGAGCCCTCGTAGTTGGGGGGTGGCAGGGGCTGGGCTCGGATGCTGGGCTGGTGACCCACCTCACAGTCTGCATAGGAGGGCTGGGCCACGCTCAGCCGCATGCTCACCCTCTTGTAGCCCGGGTCAGGCTGGTACGGGACGCCCTCGCCCTGCACCAGCTGGGCTGGGTAGTAGCTGATGGCTGTGTATTCATTCTGGCACTGGGAAGCTCCCATGTCCACAGGGCCGAGTGGCAAGAAGTCCTCCAGGTTCTGGTTGCTGTAGCGGGGTGGGATTGGCGCTCGCTTGTTGCTCTGGTCCAGTGGGAAGGGAAAACCCCCATAAAGAGCGACTGGCTCTGTGTCTGCCGGCGGAGGGGGTGGTGGGG